CGATCCCCCAGTGGGGTTCTCTGCTCTCCCTTCTGCTGTCAGGTAATTACTCTCTATCCTTCAGATTCAAAGCAGATTATGCAATTTGTAGACCCCTGCCTATTTCTAAAAGGTATCTGCCAAAAAAAAAAAAGACCGGGGACAGAACATTTGATGCAATCTTGACAACTAAATTGAATTTCAAAATACAGTTACTCCAATTGGTTACCATATAATCACATTACAAAGCACTTGAAAGTATTGTAACTACTGTTCAAAGTGATTTCATTATTTGCATGAAGGTATAGCTCAGACTCAGGAGTCATTCTGTTCCTACTATGAGAGCTATGTGGGATGTGGATGATGAAATTGGTTAGAAATCGACTCTCAACTGAGAGAACATAAAGGTCTAAGTTTTTTCTTCCACCATTGTAGCCTCAGGTTGAGGTTATAAAAAAAAACTTAAAAAGAGAGCAGGTGATATTCTTTCTCTCTCTGTCTCTGTCTCTCTCTCTGTCTGTCTGTCTGTCTGTCTGTCTCTCTCTCTCTCTCTCTCTCTCAGTAGCTTTATAAATCATGACATTCTGTAGAATTATCTAATCCAGAAGACTCAAGTTCCCCATACTTAACACTGACTCCCATGTGGTGGTCTTTTCCTGTGAGGGACCGCCTTTCCTTTCCCAATTGCCTCTCACACTTCTGATCTCACCTGTCCTACTTTTGGTCCACTGCAGCCTGGTTTGTACCATCACCCTTGTCAGTTCCTCTTCTCTGTAACTTTGTATACAGTATTAACTCCACTTCTTTCAAACATTGTCCTTTGCGCCCTGCCTCCCCCCACACACACTCTTCTCAAACCCCCCATCCCACACAATGCTTCACTTCTTCTTCTTCTTTTATAAGGATAATACCTTCAAAGGTATTGAACTGAACAGTACTAACCTATTCTTTTATCTGTTTCAACACATAATTCTTGAGTGCCTATTATGTGCAACTCTGGTGCCAGGAACTAGCAGGAAGGGGTAGATACAACTAAGAATGTGGGAGGGAGTATGTGAAGCCCAGGCATAGGCTTTGGAATAGACAAATTCAGGTAAATCCCAGCTTTGACATTTTTTGTCTGTGTAACCTTGGGCAACTTACCAACCTTCTTTGTGTTTCATTTTTCACATTTTCAAATAGGATTAGAGTTACCTACCTCATAGATTTGTTGTTTGGTTTTGTTTTTAGCAACAGCCTGTCACCCAGGCTGGAGTGCAGTGACACAGTCATCGCTCACTGCAGTCTCAAACTCTTGGGCTCAAGCAATCCTCTTGCCTCAGCCTCCCTATAGAGCAGAGACTACAGGTGCTTGCTATCATGCCCAGCTACATTTAAAACATCTTGAACTCCTGAATTCAAGTGACACTCCTGCTCTGGCCTCCCAAAATGCTGGGATTACAGGCATGAGCCGCTGTGCCTGGCCTAAATTTGTTGTTTGGGATTAAAGAATTTGATGGTTGCAAAGTGTTTAGCATTGTACTGGGCACACAGTAAATTCTCAATAAATGGTAGTAATGAAATAGGACCTAAGCTCTGCCCTCAGAAGTCTGAAATCTAGTGGAGATAAAATAGACATCTGAGCCATACCATTATAGTGACTGGAATAAAGGTTTAAGCAGGATATTACGGAAATGAGAAGAGATTGATTCTGATTAGAAATTTGAGGATGTTATCTTGAAAACATGCAAACTGGGTATTCCTTCAATAGGTAGCTATTGTGGTCAAGGCATATCACTGAAGAAGAAGGGTGAACACTAGAACTGGAAGCGGAAGGCTTGGGCCAACTGCTATACGAAATTCTTGAGCACAAGTTTCCTTTTCAGTGGAATGAGGAGAATAATACCAGCTCTGCCTGCACCCCAGTATTGGTATGAAATGAGATACTGTGCAGAAAGGGCTTTGTAATTTCTGAACATTAAAAATGTAGTGATGGTGATAATGGAAGGAATCACTTTTATTGTCAGCCTAGTGGAAATCAATTTCTACCTATCATTCCTGCTCTCTTGGCTTGCTCCCCCTTGTGGCTAATGGTACACTTTGCAAGTCATCTGGCTGGTGTTTCTGTTGACAGAAATGTTTTGACAAAGTCTACTCTCAATTTCTCATGCAAACAGAGACAAGCAGTACGCCAGATAGATAATTCAGAAGAACAGATCATCAAAACATCACTTCTAGTTAGCGCTGAAATGTGAAAAGGAGGGGGAGCACAGGAGGAGGCCTTAGATCACCTGCAAAGTGAATAATTAAGAATTAACTCTAATAAGAACTTGCAGAATCACTGTGCAAGCGGGGATCACACTGTGGGATGGATCTGAAAATCCAAGATGGCAAAGCAAGCATACTTTAGCCTTTAGAATAGACTCTGTCTCTGTCAGTTTCTGTCCCTGTCATCTTTGAAGAAACAACTATGTCTGAAACATTCCAGAAAAATGTGGTTTTGTCTCTCAGACCCAGTATTGCACCGTTTGCTCTGTCCTGGGTGGGCTGTGTACATACCTTCAAGTAAATTGTTGGAATAGCTCCCGGCTTGCTCAGTCAGCTGACTCTGTCGCAAAGGAGGATTTATCTTTTTTCCTCCTTTGTCCAAACTAGAGGACAAAGAGCATGGCAGCTAGTGGCTAATCACAGGGTCTGCTGGAGCCTGCCCAGGAAAGAAAAGAGGAGAACATCCCCCCACCCCCAGAGCAGCCCTTTCAGTTGCCCCCAAAGAAATTCACAAATACGCCCCTGCCAGAGGACAGCAAAAAGCAGGTTGCCCCACAACTAGCCCCTGTGACACCCCAGAAGGCTAAGTGACAGCTAGGGTGCTGTCACCGAGGGCAGTGACAACAATGTCTGGCTGCCGATGCGACTGCTGTATCACAACTCACCATATAGACCCGTATGTTTAGGGTCCTCCCTTTAAAATGACACGCTAGAGGGGCCAGGGTTTTGGACGGATTAACTTGGCGTTACACCACGTACCTGGGGATATTTTGGTTCATCTGATAATGAAGAGTTGGAGGTTAATAAAAACAACTCCGAAATAATTGTAACAAGCCACAAGAAGGTCTTTATGGTGGGGAGCTTTCAAGATTTGGATTCAAGCAGACCTCTTTGTATTTGAACACTGTCACTTGCTGAGTGATATCAGACAAGTTACCTAACCTCTCTGAGCCTCAGTTTCTTTAGCTACAAAATTAGGATAACAATACTAACTATCTCAGAGTTGTTTGGAGTGGAACAAAATGCAGCACAGTCCCTGGCACCCAAAGAGTATGCAACAAATAGTAACTGCTAAAATAACTCCCAGTTTCTCAAAATCCTCCATTTGCTTTGCATGACTAGGCCCATTTCCAGAAGTTGCGTAAATACACTGCCTACAGAATGCAGGCACTGCTCTGTTCTTTAAGGAGCTCCAAAATGCCTTACAGAAACTGCTGTTTATTCTTTTTGAAAAGCTAGGAGGATGGGAAAGGGAAAGGGTTACAATTTTCCATTTCACAGACAGGAAATCTGAGGCGTCGAAAAGGTAAATTACTTGCCTAATGTCACAGAAAGCCAGCAGCAGAGCTGTAATCGGTCATGACCCCCAGTGCAATGCAGCTTGTCTTCACCTTTCAAAAGTCAGGGGTAAGCAACTCCTGTCTCAGCTTTAATACTATCAGTCTAATTTCTTGGATTTTCTATAGCTGCAGATCTTGAGAACCTTTGAAGCTTTGGGGAAATCACATGGGTGATTTGACCTTAAATCTCATGCCACTGGCAAAAGATTAATTGCTAAGACCTGGAAAGGGGCCAGACAATTCTGTGTAGCTGAATAGCGGCATCGTCTAGGGATGTGACTGTCCTGACAGATTTAGTTAGTACATAATTGATAAATCTAGAGTTTGTATAGCTTCACTTCACAGATAGATAAGGCAGTGGGCTCCGAGGGTTGACATTTACAGAAACGCTACTAGTGTTTTGTAACACTGAATCTAGGTTTTGTACCCTCCTCCTTGGGGCATTGCTCATTTTCTAAGGCTCTGTTCTCAGCAGGCAATAAGATGAGGAAATCTGACAAAAGTGCCACCTTGCCCAGTGTAAGCAAAAAGGAGCATTCAGTTTAGCACTGTCACATGACTGCAGTGAAAGTCTTATTTACCCTGATCCAATGGCAGGTTGAGGTCAGAGAGAGATTCGACGCATTATATAGCAGCTAGCACATTTTTGTCACAATCAGAATCCAAAAAAAGTTGAAAGACCGCCAGGCACATCAAAGCCTGGATAGTGGGTCTAAACTCTGGGCAGGAAGTTCTATATAGCTTGTCTCTTGTTCTGGACTCCAGAGTCCTCAGACCTTTTTTAGCAACATGAACTCTGACAAGCACCCAGAAACCTCTGCTTTTATTCTTTGACTTTGGTTGCCCACTCAACAAAGTATTTTGCTTATCAAAAAGAATTGGTGGGGGATATTTTTCACCATCATTTGTATCCAGAGTCCATAGAGTTTATTGTAGGGTTTGGTTATCTTAATTCTTGCTCTTTGACAACTTTAATGTTTCAGTGCGGGAGGCGTTGTTGGTGCCTGATATATACCCAGCGTACTTCTGTAATTTTTGTCACTTCCAGTTGTAAAACATCTGACCCGCCAGCTTAGGTCAGTAAATCAGTGACTTACAGTGCACAAGATCTTATGGACAGTCGATCAGTTTGTTTATTTGTCTTTGTATGATGGTGAATAAGGATGACATTAAGGAGAGACTCTCTTGCTCTCACAGATAAACATTCAGTAACTTTATCTATTATAATTTGACACATAAAGCTATTTTTCTGATCTTTCAGAATACAACTTACTGAAATGTGTTACTTTTTAATAATTATTTAGAAACATCATATTATGTATAAACAATCATTTTATTGCATGGACACCATTTTAAGTATAAATAGTTTACACAATTGTTTCTAGATGCTTCGTTGCTCTACGTTAAGTAGATGATTTTGTCTTCTTTCATCAGAAGAATTAGAGCGATTAGAACAGGAGAGACTAGCACTGGAAGCCACTATCAAAGACAACGAGTGTGAAGAAGGAAACGGAGGCATCCGAACCTTGTTTAAAAAAGCTGGCAAGTTGAACATTACTAAGCTAAATCCTAAAAAAGGTGAGTACTTTCTAAAATTGACAGGAAAGATTACAAGATGAGTCACTAACTGAGCATCTGTAAAGATTCAGAAGTCAACATCTAAGATGCTGGGGGCACTGAGTATAAGTAGAGACTGAAATATTTCTCTCCACAAGGTAATATGTATAATAGGTAGAAGTCATTGTCATTTGTCAATGTCTTTAAGTACTTTGTACCACCTTACTGTAAAAAAAATTATTTTAAAAGAGCCGGAGGCGTGGCTCACGCCTGTAATCCCAGAACTTTGGGAGGCTGAGGGAAAAGGATTGCCTGAGCCCAGGAGTTCAAGATGAGCCTGGACAACTTAGTGAAACCTCATCTCTACAATAAATCAAAAAGTAAGCTGGGCTTGGTGGCGCACACCTGTAATTATAGGTATTTGGGAGATTAACGTAGACGGAACACCTGAGACCAGGAGGTGATGTGCCACTGCACTCCAACCTGGGCAACAAAGTGAGACTCCGACTCAAAAAAAAAATTATTTTGAAAGAGTAATATCTGGTTTGGGAGTCAAGCAGATTGAGTGCCACAAAATACAAATTTATCAGTGGAGAAGGAAAGGGGATAGAAATGTAAGAGCCGGCCAGGCGGTGGTTCAGCCTGTAATCCCAGCACTTTGGGAGGCCGAGGCAAGAGGATGGCTTGAACCCACGGGTTTGAGACCCACCCAGGCAACTTGGCAAGACCTCATCTCTACAATAAATCAAAAATTAGCCGGGCATGGTAACGCCCACCTGTAGTTCTGGCTGCTTGGAAGACTGAGGCAGAAGGATTACAGGAGCCCAGCAGGTCAAGACTGCAGTAGCCGGGAGTGTGCCACTACCCTCCAACCTGGGTGACAGAGTGAGATTCCAACTCAAAAAAAAAAAAAGAAAGAAAGAAAAAGAAATGTAAGAGCCAACACCCAAACTGTTATAGCTTAACTCTCTTACCTTTTAGACATTTCAGGGGACTGAAAATTGACCAGCATAGACAAATGGGAAATCCAGCTAGAACCTAGGTTTCAACAAAAGCACCTTTATCACAAACCAGAATGCAGGACTTGGAACTTGGAACTAATTACCTTAGAACTTGGAACTAATTACCTATAGATTTTGTCTGAGTGGTGCACTTATCTCTGAATGTCTGGTGTGCATTCTGGGGACAGAGAACCAGCGGATGGGAGAGCTTGTTGTAAGTTTTATAAACAGATGGATTCAAATTCTTCTTTTTTGAAAATTACTTTCTTCCCAAAACACTGCAGGTTTGAGTTTAATGAGGTCCACAGTGACCTCTGCTGGTGGAAAATCAGCATTTCTATTTGAACAAAGGTCCTATTGTCACTGAAGTCACACACTGGTGCGAGGTCAGGAAAGATCGTTTCTCAGGAAGAGTCTCCAAGTCAAATAGCAGGATCTAAGTTGAGGCTTAGCAGCCTTCTTGTCTAGGTTAACCAGAGCTATCCCTTCAAAGAGGCCATGTCTTACCCTGCAAATGATTTGTCTGTTTGCTTAAGATTTTGCCTGTAATATATGTTTATATTGCATACAGAGAATTATGGGAAATCTAAATATTGCTCACTTCAAATATTCAAGGTACTCTCAGATTCCTGGGACATCCCATGGGACATGAGAGAGCCTACTACTTGCTACCCAACTTAAAATGACATAAAGTTGGAGCTACGTCAGGACTTTCAGGTGCAAAAATTAAAACAAGACTGTTGTGGAAGCTAACTACTAGTTCCTTTCTTTTCCAATTATTTGGTTTATTTGTGAATAAAGTTAACTATTCATTAAATCTGCTCTTTTAAGTGATACAGTCTGGAAAAAATAACAGAAAATTTAAAAGTCATGGCTCAATACTGTCCCCTAGCTATTAGGAAGGGAGAACCATTCATGTCTTTTTTTTTTTTTTTTTTTTTTTTTTTGAGTCAGGGTCTCGTCCTGTCACCCGGACTAGAGTGCAGTGGCATGATCACGGCTCATCGCAGCCTCCACTTCAGCCTCCCGAGTAGCTGAGACTACAAGTGCATGCCCACATAATTTTTTTTTTTTTTTTATAGAAGACAAGGTCTCACTATGTTGCCTAGGCTGATCTCAAACTCCTGGGCTCAAGCAATCCTCCAGCCTCAGCCTCCCAAAGTACTGGGATTTCAGGCATGAGCCACCACGTTCAGGCCAAACATCCTTATTAATGAAAACAGGACCTGTTATTTATTCTGGAAGCCTACTTCTGCATCAAAATGCTTGTTTTGACAAAAATATAACTCTTCCAAAAGTCAATATGCCTCATTGTTCAGAAAAGCAAAATAATAATGTTACGTGCCGTGTCTAATACCTGGAAGTTTAAACATAGCTCTAAAGTGGGCATACTCACTCCTCTGGGCTTCAGCTGGTTGACAGCTCTTCTGAGTCCTAGACCAGGACCAACTCTGCCTGCAGGCACATGAGAATGAACAGGAGTCCTCTGAATGCTTTGATTTTCATGTAAGAGAGGGCAGAATTTGGTTCATTTTGTAAATAAATTTTTCTCCCACAGTGGTCCTAGGGATACAGAAATAATACAACATCATTGCTTCAGAACTGACAGACCCAAAACATGGAAACAGTATAAGGCAGAACAAAGCATCTTCAGAACCTCTTAGATCAGAGAGGAAGCTTGAAGAGGCTGTCAGCTCTACTCTAAGCACTCCGCTGACTGCCCATCTTTGAAACGGAGCAATGAAGTCACAACTTTCAAAGACAGGAAATGAAAAATGAGATATATCCAGTGTGGCTATGAAGCTCCTATTGGCAAATAGGGACAAGGGTCCTGCTCTAACACTGGCCTAGCTCCCTGGTATACTTTCACTGTATCCATGTTCAGGGTGGAAATTGCATTAAAATTTTTTCCTCAGTATTTTATAGGCACTCTTAATTATAACTCAAGCAAAGATATTTTGTCTTTCCATATTTTCTGGCTTTTTAAATCTACTTCACAAAGATCTAAATAGCTCAAGTAGCTTTAACTTAATGTCACAAGATTCCTTGGAAAGAGAACAGAGAAGTAAACCAGGCCGGTCATGGGACCAAGTAGTCCTGGAGAGTTCAAGATGTACATGACTGCTGGCATAGTTTATAATCCAGACCTCAACGGAACTTAAACCAAAAGTTTGCTTCGTGAACAAATTCCCTAACAAAAGAATATTTCTAATTCTATTGCTTGTCTTTAGACAACCAATCACCACACTTTCTACTTTTAAGTAAATCTGAAAATATTAATTTGATTTATATTTGAGATTTGGGGAAATGGGTATATTTCGACAATTGTAGCAGATAGTTTTGCATTGTTACATGTCTAAATAATAAGTCCACTCTGAAACAGATTACTGAAGAGCTGAAAATAATCCACTGCTTCATTATAAAAACTGTAATCATAAAACCAATATCAATGTTTTACTTAATTATTGAAGGTGATCTAAATTATTGTGGAATTCAACCTTTAACTCCCTTTTAGAGAACAGAGCTCACTATCTATATAATATACACAAATCCATGACCTTTTCTCTGTTTTCTTTGGAAGATTTATGGGACAGTTATTTTGCTTCTACCCTCAAAAACAAACAGATGCATCACTTTCTCGTTCATTTCAGATGGCAGCGTTAACACAATCCAGTCGATGCATGTGGGAGAGTTCAACCAGAAACTGGTAGAAGCCAGCACTCAATTTAAAAAGAAACAAGGAAAAGGCACAATTGATGTTTGGTGGTTGTTTGATGATGGAGGTAAAATCTGGTAGAATACACTAGGGAACAAAATTTCGATTTCGATAAATTTAGTAAACTGCATGGAAAGGTATATGAAAATGTTACTAGTTAAAGAATAACATTTCTGTGTTCTCCAAAGATTGTAAATTATTTAAGAGCTACAATTATGGGAATGAATAAAGATATAAAGCTGTTCTTTTTTTTTTCTCAGTTAGATACACTCATCCTTTCTACCATAACTGATGCTTTATTCCAGGGTTAACACTTCTTATCCCCTACATCCTGACACTCAGAAAAAAATGGAAGGACTGTAAATTAAGAATCTATGTTGGAGGGAAGATCAACCGCATTGAAGAAGAAAAAATAGCGTAAGTAGTTTACCACTCGTAGGTTAAGTCATTTCAAATGTTCATTAATTTTAAGAATTTTAAGTGTCTTTAGGCACAATAGATTTAAAGACAAAGCCGCCAGGATAGGCCTCTTGTTTACTTGGTTTTCTGGTCAATAATTACCTGCATGTTTTTTCCAATCACTATCTTTAAGTCCTCTAATCCCCTGTCACCCATGCTTTCAAAAAAGAACTTGCCACAGAAGATTTATCCCAAGTCTTGAATGGGAGTTTCATTATCTCGTATAATGTTTATTTTGCTCTCGCTAGCAAAAGCATCCAAGAAAGGAATTTGTGTAGAAATTTGTGTCCGGTTGTTTCTTCTGGGGGACTCCAAGTCTGCTAACTCATGACAGTCACCTTAGCACAGCATATATGAAAGAGAGCTAGCCTAGCATGGTGACTCATACCTGTAATACCAACACTTTGAGAGCATAGCTTGAGGCCAGGAGTTTGAGACCAGCTTAAGCAACATACCAAGACCTATCTTTACCAAAAATAAGAAAATTAGCCAGGACATTGTGGCGCACACCTGTAGTTTTAGAGGCACTCCAGCCTGGGAAACAAGGCGAAATCCTGTCTCTAAGAAGAAGCATTTTGGGAGCCCAAGACGAGTAGATTGCCTGAGCCTACAAGTTCGAGACCAACCCGGGCAACTTGGCGAGACCTTGTCTCTACAATAAATAAACAAATAAAAATAGCCAGTCATGTTAGCGCATTCCTGTGGTTCCCGCTACTTGCAAGGCTGAAGTGGAAGGATGACCAGAGCCCAGCAGGTCGATGCTGGAGTGGTCGTGAGTGCGCCACGGCACTCCAGCTTGGGTGACAGAGTGAGACTCCAACTCAAAAAATAAAAAAAAATAAAATAAAGCGACAAAGAAAAGAAAAAAACACATAAAAGGCAACGAAACTGAGACTGCCCCTGGGTTCTAGCCCCAGCCCTACCATCAAAGAGCTGTTGGACTTTGCAACAGTCACTAAACATATCTGGGTCCCCAGTTTCTCCTCTGTAGTTTGAAAGGGCTTAAACAGATGACTGTTGAGAACCCTTTTATTAAAAAAAGAAAAAAAACCCTCCATGTAAGTCTCTTTCTCATTAGTTTCTCATTAATGTCACCGCTGAGAGCTTATGTGTAGTTGTGAGAATAACAAGCATGGTAGATTCAGAGGTCTCTGGAGAACCAGCTTCAGCACCTCTCAGTCCCTCAGGGCATACTTAAGCCATGAGCCCTTCCTGGAACCACTACTTCCAGAAATCACAAAATAAGACTGGCTTTTATTCAGTAATTTTTCACATTTTCTCTTCCCTCTTAGGAGGATTATATTGTGTGTTGAATGTAGTCTATTTATTGATCTATCACCTATCTATCTATCATATATATGTATATAAGCATATATGTATATAGAGAGATATTTGTGATCTATTTCTATGTATATGTATGCTGTATAGCATCATGTATCGCTTAATGACAGGGATACATTCTGAGAAATGTATTGCTAAGTAATTTTGCTGCTGTGTGATCATAGAGTGTATTTGCATAAACCTAAATGGGATAGATTACTATCACCTGAGCTATATGGTATAGGTTATTGCTCCTAGACTGCAAACCTGTACAGCATGTTACTGTACTGAATACTTCATGCAATTGTTACACAATGGCAAGCTTCTGAGCATACAAACATATCTAAGCATAGAAAAGGTCCAGCAAAAATATGGTATAAAAGATTTTAAAAGTGGGACAGCTGTATAGGGTACTTACCATAATGGAGTTTGCGGCACTGGAAGTTGCTCTGAGTCAGTGACTGGTGAGTAACTATGAAAGCCCAGGACACCACTGTACAGTATTTAGACTTTATAAACACTGTGCACTTAGGCGATACTAAATGTATTAAAGATACTTTTTCGCCAGGCTCAGTGGTTCAGCCTGTAATCTCGTGCCTTTGGGAGGCTGAGGTGAGTGGATTGCCTGAGCCTGCGGGTTCGAGACCCGCCTGGGCAGGCGAGACCTCATCTCTACAATAAATTAAAAAATTAACCAGGCATGGTAGTGCGCGCCTGTAGTTCCAGCTACTTGGAAGGCAGAAGGATTGCCGGAGCTCAGCAGGTCGAGGCTGCAGTGGCCAGGAGCGGCCACTGCACTCCAGTCTTGGTGACAGTGAGACTCCGACTCAAAAAAAAAAGATATTTTTCTCTCTTCCATAATAAATTAACTTTAGCTTACTATAACTTTTTTACTTCATAAAACTTTAACTTTTGTAATAACACAGCTTAAAATGCAAATACATTGTACAGCTGCACAAAACTTTTTTCTTTGTTTATATCCTTAAGAGTTTTATTCTATTATTCTATTATTTTAATTTTTAATTTTTTTAATTTTTAAACTTTTTTGTTAAAAATGAACACATGCACATTAGCCTAGGCCTACACAGGGTCAAGATCATCAGTATCATTGTCTTCCACCTCCACATCTTGTCCCACCGGAAGGTCTTGGTGAACAACAGCACACAAGGAGCTGTTGTCTCCTATGGGAACAATGCCTTCTTATGGAATACCTCCTGAAGGACCTGCCTGAGGCTGTTTTGCACTTCACTTTTTTATATATGAGTAGGAGTACGCTCTAAAATAATAATAAAAAGTATAGTGTAGTAAACATATAAACCAGTAACATAGTCGTTTGCTATCATTATCAAGTATTATGTACTGTTTGTATGTGCTATACAATTTATATGACTAGCAGTACAGTAGGCTTGTTTACACCAGCATCATGAGTATTTCATTACCCCATGACATTATAATGGCTACATCACTACTAGGGAATAGAAATTTTTAAGGTCCATTATAATCTTTTGGGACCATCATCATATGCGATCCTTTATTGACTGAAATGTTGTTATGCAGTGCATAATTGTATATATATTATCCATATATTCATATATTTATTTTATTGTTATTTTATTTTCTTAATCTGTTATTTTATTAGTTCATTAATTGCATTTATTTTTGTCAGAGGATCTAAGAACCCAAATTCGTATACTACTACTCTTATTCTAAAACTTTAAAAATGTCTTGTACCTAAACTTCTCTGCAATCCTATAGCCTTGTCCCCAATCTAGGGACAAGCAATTGTAAGTAATTTTTTTTTTTGAGTTGGAGTCTCACTCTGGCGCCAGACTGGCCACCGCAGCCTCGACCCGCTGGACTCCGGCGATCCTTCTGCCTCAGCCTTCCAAGTAGCTGGAACTACAGGCGTGCGCTACCACGCCCGGCTAATTTTTTGATTTATTGTAGAGATTAGGTCTCGCCTGCCCAGGCGGGTCTCAAACCCACGGGCTCAGGCAATCCACTCACCTAAGCCTCCCAAAGGCATGAGATTACAGGCTGAGCCACCAAGCCTGGCTAATATTTTTTTTTAAATCAATATTTTTTATTATGACATTGTGGGGTACAGTTAAAGGTTAGGTATACAAATATGCTTCTTTCAGGCACCCTTGTTGATAAGAGGTGTCTCCCCCGTCCCAGATAGATATTTACTATTGTTAATCCCATCTCCTTTCCCCTCCCCTCCCATAGTTTCCCACCACTGTCAGTTATTTTCTTATAGTATGATATTTGAGGTTTTAGGTCCACTATATGAGTGGGAACATGTGATACTCAGATCTTTGTTTCTGTGAGAGGTCACTCAGTATTATAGACTCTAGTTCCATCCAGGTTGCTGCGAAATTCATGATTTTGTCCTTTTTTATGGCTGCATAGTATTCCATCATGTACATGTACCACATTTTTTTAATCCAGTCCTCTTTTGATGGACAGCATGGTTGCTTCCAGGTTCTTGCTATTGTGAACAATGCTGCGATAAACATACGTGTGCAGGTATCTTTTCTATAGAGTGATTTGAGTTCTTCAGGGTATATTCCCAGTAGGGATATTGCGGGTTCATATGGGAGGTCAATATTTAGAGCTTTTAGGAATCGCCATACTGTTTTCCACAGAGGTTGCACTAGTGTGCACTCCCACCAACAGTATAGAAGTGTTCCCTTTTCACCACACCCTCTCCAGCAACTGTTATTTTTTGTTATTGATAATTGCCATTCTGACTGGAGTTAGGTGGTGTCTCAGTATGGTTTTGATTTGCATCTCCCTGATGATTAGTGAGGTTGAGCATTTCTTCATGTGTCTGTTGGCTACTCAGATGTCTTCCTTTGTAAAGTGTCTATTCATATCTTTTGCCCATTTTATAATGGGGTTGTTTGTTTTTTTCTTTTCAGCACATTTGAGTTCCATGTAGATCCAAGATGTTAAGCCTTTGTCAGACCTGGAATTGGCAAATACTTTTTCCCAGTCTGTAGACTGTCTCCCTGCTCTCTTGATGGTTTCTTTGGCTTTGCAGAAGCTTGTCAGTTTAATGAGGTCCCACTGGTCTATCATATCTCTTATGGCCTGTGGGTTTTGGGTTTTGTTCAGGAATTGGATGCCAATTCCAATTTCCATGAGGGTATGTCCTTCATTTTCTAAGGTTCTTATGGCTTGAGGTTTTACATTTAGGTCTCTGATCCATTTAGAGTTAATTTTTGTATATGGGAATAGATAAGGGTCCTGTTTCAATCTTCTGCATGTGGTCAGCCAGTTTTCCCAGCACCATTTACTGAATAGGTTCTCCTCTCCCCAGTGGTAGGTGGTGGAGGCTTTGTTGAAGATGAGTTGGTTGAGAAATTTAGGTTTTGATTCTGGAATCTCAATTCTATTCCATTGGTCTTTATGCCTGTTCCTGTACCAATATCAAGCTGTTTTGATTATTGTAGCTTTATAGTAAAGATTGAAGTCTGGTAATGTGATACCACCTACTTTGCTTTTTTTTGCTGAGGATTGTTCTGGCTATTTCTTGGTCGTTTGTGTTTCCATATGAATTCTTGTGTTCTTTTTTCTAGGTCTGAGAAGAATGTTGCTGGTAATTTGATGGGTATTGTATTAAATCTGTAGATTGCCTTAGGTAGGATGGACATCTTCACAATGTTGATTCTTC